TTTTTTTTAAGTTTAAGGATTCTTTCTAAAAGTTATTGGTAGGGGAAAAGACCTGGCAATATTTGCTTTGTTATCAGAAAAGCAGATAATATGATACAGTTTAGCTGATGTAAAAAAGGAATGCTTCTCAATCTTTATGCTCACTTTTAATAAACAAAAAATTCTATCCTTTGATTTAATTTTGCATTTTGAATTGCATATTGTTTTATAAAAAGTACAAAGGCAATGTTAATTGCAAAATATACTTTTTCTAATGACAGCCTCTTTCCCAGATATGTTGGCACATCTTTCCTTCCCCTTCCTTATCTCTGTATCAACGTCCACCCCCAATTTAACTTTAAGAATTGTTCCAATGGTCTCCTAGGCAAAAAAGAAAAGATAGATTTTGAACTTCTGATCTAAATCAAAAAAGAAAAGCCTGGGCTTGGTCCTGTAGCTCAGCAGGTAGGGCAGCAGCCACATACATCAGAGCTGGTGGGTTCAAATCCAGCCCAGGCCTAACAAAACAACAATGGCAACTACAACCAAAAAATAGCTGGGCGTTGTGGTGGGGGCCTGTAGTTCCAGCTACTTGGGAGGCTATTGCAAGAGAATTGCTTAAACCCAAGAGTTTGAGGTTGCTGTGAGCTATGACATTACAGCACTCTACAGAGGACAACATAGTGAGACTCTGTCTCAAAAAAAATAAAATCTATGCTCTAATCATCACTTTGGATGAGATCCAATGAAATACTGGTTTAGATATGAGCTTGTAGATTTCTTTATGTAACAGCTAACTACATATCTAAACTATAATTCCTCCCCTCAAAGAGCAATAGTGTGAGACACACAAGTAAATAAATTGTAATGTAGGGGCAGTGCCCATAAGCTCAGTGGATAGGGCACCAGCCACATACACCATTGCTGGTGGATTCAAACCCAGCCCAGGCCAGCTAACACAACAATGACAACTGCAACAACAAAAATAGCCAGGCGCTGGGGCAGGTGCCTGTAGTCCCAGCTACTTGAGAGGCTAAGACAAGAGAATCATTTAAGCCCAAGAATTTGAGGTTGCTATGAGCTGTGAAACCACAGCACTCTACCCAGGGCGACAGCTTGAGACTATTTTTTGGTTGTAGTTGTCATTGTTGTTTTAGCTGGCCTGGGTTGGCTTCGAACCCACCAGCCTCAGTATATGTGGCCAGCGCCCTACCCAGTGAGCTACGAGTGCTGACCAACAAGAAAGTTTAAAAGAAAAAATTTTAAGAGGAAAAAGCTCCTAGAATAAGGATATAAAAAAAGAAAACATTTTTGTACCACTGAATAATGTGTTTGTTTTAAGCTAAGTGATATCATAAAAAAGTCAAAAATCAACAAAAATTTAAAAGTTTATACAGGGGCCGGGTTTGAACCCACCGCCTCCGGTATATGGGACT